TCGATATCTACGTTTGCTGCAGGCGGATCTGCATCCAAGTTTGGGTCAGTGGGAAAATTACCTACATCCTCTTCATCTTCTAGCTCCATCTGGCGATCTCTTTGGCTCAAATAATAGTCTATGTCATCTTCATTGTCGGTGGAATCGTCTTCCGAAATTTCATCATTTTCTAACCGCTTCAATATTCTCTTCATCTCTTCTGGTCGCATTATTGATAAATTTCTATAATAAAATAAAAATAAAAGTAATCCCAACACAAAGCTATGAAGAAAAATAATGAAACGGAAGTTCAAAAGTTTTTATAGCTAAAGAATTAGTAGGTAGGTTTTATGTAGGGCGGAAAGCCTGAAGTATCAAAAGTGATACTCACAAAAATAGCACTACTTTCTTCAAGTAAAACATGCACTCGCAAAAAGTAATTATATCATAGCGAAAATAATATATTCACTTACCTCAAAAGTATAGGTATTTTATATTCTTCAGAAAAAGAAAATATATCAAATTTGTATTCAACAAAACTTTTAGTAAAATGTGTTTACTTGTTCACTTTGCCGCGCAAGTAATATGTCATAGATAAAATAAAACAATAATGACATTTGTTTTTTTTTTTAATTTCGTTGGAAAGAATATTATACAACAGTAAAATACGAACAGCCAACCTATAAAAAAAACTAATAGTAATGTGAACATTCGGTTTAAAAGATTGGTATCAAAATTGAAACTCTGGGTTATTAAGGGTTAAAATGCGTTCATAATGTTATTTGGGGTCTCTGCTAGAGGTCATGCCAGGAACTCAAGAATGGATATTGTCTTTCCTGGGTTATTTAGTAGCCACTTTTCTTCAGTTTTAGCGCAATACGATTTAAATGTTCCATTAACGCCAACATCCCGAGCTATTTTTAGCTCCAATACTTTCTAGGGGACTATCACACATGAATAAGTCCTTTCATTTAAGGCGAGGAAAAATAAACATAGGCGGTATGGTATTACCAACTGCATTTGCTGCTAATTCGACGGTAACTAAAATTCTTCGCTCAGCCGACACTATGGCACCCGCTTGCTTAACGCCGTCGGCAGCTACTACTCTCTTTAGTTTTACTACAATTGTGACTCCTGTTTCTTAATAACTTCATTATTGCCTATCACGAATACCCCACGCAGACCTGCTTTGTCGGCCCAGGTAATGAGGCATAAAATTGCTGAATATTGCTGTACAGTCGGAACATTATCATGGCAAGATCATATGAATTAGACTTGCATATGTCGCCGTGGCAACCACATGGTGTCTCTTAAAAAAAAAAAAAAAAGATTTTTTCAATTTTTTTTATTAAAAAGAACACAAATAATTAAAGTTAAACGTAATAATGTAGTTGTGCTGAAGCTATACACAGTATTAATTCTCGGGCGAAGCTTGTTTCTGTCCATCAGAAATTACAAATATTTGAAAGCGAACCAAGAAGACTGGTATACTTCATCAGTTCCTATAATTTATAATTATGCAATGATTACTACTACGATATAGAAATAAGTATAACTATTCTAATCTCATCGCATTTAGAGTAAAGTTTTTAATTTCTGGCTCTTTCTGGTATTAGTGTGTAGTTAAATTAAAAATAATAATCACATTATTTTATAATGTGTTTATGTTGTAATTTCCTTTAATATGTATTTTACTTTTATATCCATATTGTAAAAAGCCTAATCTTAGATTAAAGATAAATAAAGAGGAATAATAATAAAATAATAGTTATAAAATATCAATTGAGTTTTCATGAACGGCTACGACTACGAGTAGAGTGCGTGCAAAATAATGCCACTCTGTTCGCCGACCTGGGGGGGAGGGCAGGCGACTTATGCGAACTTCACAAACCGGCATAGATTTTGCACACACTAGCAGTATCTACTTACCTTTTCCTGTTGTGCGTTTTAGTTAGTTTTAGCGATTTTTGATTTTTCACGGCGAAGGGCAGCCATCAAATAATCCATATTTTTCTTCAATTCGTCAACTGGACACTCCATTTCGACGGAGAGTTCATCCCAGGCCTCCTGCTTCAGATTCCTGTTGTAATAGCTTTTGTGGCTGGGGTCCCATAATACTTGCTTTTCTTTATAGGCCTCGACGCGTCGACGATACGGATACGGTGATCGGATCGGGCAAATGATACATGTCTGGACCCGGCTTCATACTGCGGAACACACAGCGAATACATGATTGAACTTGTAACGATTGGAATATTGAAAGCAGTAAAATTGTGCAAGTCGTCACTGATGCAGACGTCAATATTGTTAAAGCAATAGATATTGCGTTTGGTAGAAGACTTCATACGAGTATATGCTGCTACGGCCACATGCTGAATTGTCATCAATATCAATAGAAAAACGCTTAATTTGCCTGACCTAATAGTTACAGTTAAAAAATTGTTACGTGGTTTAAGCAATGTGTTAACGCTAGTGATGAATTGAGACGAGAATCAGATTTGAAACTGATACAAGTTGTTTCTAGACGTTTGAACTCCATATTTGTTATTGTAGAAATAAAGATAAGATTGGTACAAACGGACAATGTGAATATCCTTGCAGTTGCCACTCTCATGGATCTTCGGTTTAAAAATATTCATTTCCAACACGCTCTTGCCTGTTCGAAAGCCATTAATAGTATCAAAGAAATTATATTAGATGTTGAGATGAATAAAGGAAGTGAAATTGACCTATCGGTGGAGAATTCTACAACCAAAAGACCAAGTTCAACAAATTCTATAGATCATTATAAACTCGTTTACGAAAAGATTATACATTCGCTGGACAACATGACACGTATATGCCTACAGAGTTAAATTTTTATTTAAAAAGCCCTGTAGTCGATTTAAAGCAATTACTTTTATGGAAAAGGGCAGGGGCGGTTTAACCTATAGTACAGGGTGTGCAATGGACACGGGCTCCGCCATTTCAGGGGGCGCCGCGACGCTCCCTGAGACAGCTAAGAGCATTGCCTTGAACCATCATGGTACAACAATGATGCGACAGAAGCGGCCAGCCAGCGAGGTTGCGGCAGTTATGAAACGTGAGCGGTGTCGCGATAAATCGCTAGAAAAACAGGTAATATTTACAAATGGAATATAATATCAAACTTGCAACATTAGTATTACTAGGATAATTTGGTTAAACTAGCTAGGCAACATTGTGTTTCGTTTTTTGCTAATGGTAAGTAATCTGGGTAAAGGATTGAATGCACCAATCACCGTGAGTTCTGAATCACATAAGTAAAATTAAATTAAGTAAAGAGACTGACTTTTTAAATTTTTTATTCAAAAAGAATTACAATTCTATAATGTCATATTAAAAATAACTTCCTTCTGAGGCCACACAACGCTGGAGACGTTTCTTCCACTCCTCATAGCAGTGCTGGAACTCTGATACTGGAATAACATTCAGCTGGTCGGTTACAGCCGTTTAAATGTTTTCGACTGTCCCAAAACAATTTCCCTTGAGGTGATTTTTCAACTTTGGGAAGAGAAAAAAGTCACAAGGACTCAAGTCAGGCGAATAAGGAAGCTGAGGAGCCACAGGAATGTTTTTACTGGCCAAAAACTCGTTTATTGAAATCGCTGTGTGACAAGGACCATTATCGTAATGCAACACCCACTTGTTCTTGATGTTTGGTCTCACACAAATGACTCTTTTTCGAAATCTTTCAAGAACCTCTCGGTAAAAGTGTCGATTGACCGTTTGACTTTTGGGTAGAAACTCTTTGTGGACGATTCCGTGGATATCCAAAAATACAAATCAGCATGCATTTGATCTTTGCCTTGAAGGCAAGGATGACGTGCCTTTTTTGGCCTCGGAGAGGTTGAAGAGTGCCACTCCATGCTCTGGCGCTTGGTTTCTGTGTCGTACTCAAACACCCAAAGCTCGTCACCAGTAATGACACGTTCCAGAAAATGGGGGTCATTTTTAATTGAATTCAAAAAGTCAAGGCACCTTTCCTTCCTGAGGTTCTTCTGATCTTGTGAAAGGTTTTTTGGAACCATTTTTGCGCAGATATTTCTCATCCCCAATGCATTGGTCAAAATTGGATGAACGGTGGTGTGAGTCAAATTTAACTCTTCCCTGATCATTCTGACTGTCAACTGATGATCTGAACGCACAAGATCCCGGATTTTGTCGTCATTTTCATCGGTCCTTGAAGATGAAGGCCTTCCGCTTCGTGGTTCATCTTCAATCGACTTTCTTCCTTCTGAAAATGCCTTAAACCACCGAAAAACCTGGGCTCTTCACTAACACTATCTCCGTTGGCCTGCTGAAGTTTAAGAAAAGTCTCCGTTGCACTGTGTCTGAACCAAAACCTGATAGCACGCCGTTGCTCGTAATTGATGTCATTCATTTTAGAACACAATTAAAAAACCCACACAGCGCCCCCAGTGTTGCCAGATCAAACGCAACGTTGCCAGTCTCATTACTTAATTTACAGACCTCGTATGTCTGTTATGGTAAACATTACCAACATAAAAGTTTGATTGGCGAGCTACTCAGGGCTGTAATAAGAGTCGAATTTGAGGCAAGGCAGCATTGGTTATAGGAAGGGTGGAAGTAAAAATGTATCATAATTGATCTACTCCGAAACACGGGCTACTAAATCAATCACCATGTATATAACTGACCTCTAGGTCAATATGATCTAAATGTGAAATTGGCTGCATCAAGGTTTTCAGTAGTCTTAGCCATCAGCAACGACTCATTGACGACACCATCCTTGACGTAACGTATTGCTAATGCAATTTTTCGCGGTTATTTTTATCTCTCGTCCCATTAGAGTAAACCATTTCACGTCAGATTCATTAATATCTTTGACAATGGTACTGTGGTTCGTACTACTCGAACATTGCTTGAATTATTTGATTTTGAATTTCAGGTTAACCATATGTTGCGTTTTGTGGTATATGACTGAGAATGTCGTTCAAATTTGGATCTTGGAAACATGTATATTCAAATAAATTCTGAAATTATCCTTTTTCTTTTTTTTTCTTCCAAAATATAGTTTCCCTGCAAAGCTAATTCGTTGACAATTAGAAATTGTATTACTTCAATGAAAGAGTTCACGTAATACCTATATTTTTCTAATACTTTTTGATTTATTAACGTTTCGCCATATTCTTTGTAATTTCTCCTGCCATATCGACGTAGTTTGAATATGAGAAATAGATTTTTCATGTTTTGGAAAACCAGTTTAAGAATCAGTGGCATTTTTCCAATTCCTAAATCCTGTGGAAGTGTACGAAATCTGTTTGCTTCCATGAGGTAAAAATTGCTGGCATGGATAGCAATCATGCAGTATCTTTCTCAGTAGAATACTGCAACCATTTACAACGTTTAAACCAATTGAACCACCAATTGGAAGAAAGGAATAAACGCCACTTTTTGATATATTCAGTTTTTTACACTTTTGTATTCTATAGACGTAGCGCTAAATTGTGAGTTCGAAGAAAGAAACAAAAACCATTCAGTTTGTATAGATTCATGCGGCCATAAAAACGGTTAGTTGGAAGAAAGGAACAAATACTGCCTTTATTCCCTTTTTCTAACTATCAACGTTACGAGTATATAATTAGTGTTTATTTTTGCTCGTTTATTTTATCGATGAACAAAAACGCATCGCTATAGACGCGATACTTGGGATCTAATAGACGTCATATTTATTTAGTTGTCTGTAAGACTGCATTCGGTTCGGTTTGCGTCGTGAAGATTATTAACCTTTTTATTATCATTTCATTACTAAAGTTTGAATATGAGCAGTGAAAGTAGCTGTAACGATTCATTTGATAATGAGTCAGAAGCTGAGACTCCGAAAAAGAAGAAAAGAGGTATTAGAAACATCCATTTGTACAAAAAAGAAAAGCAGAAGTCACAGCGTTTACTTGGCCAATCTTACGTGAGTACAAGTACTGGGAAGTTAGTGTCAGCAAAAACTAACAGTAATAGCAACTGTGTCTGTAAAAAAAAATGCTACAATGGACGTCCGAAAAATGAGCAAGACATTTATATGATGAGTCTGATTGAATACGGAAGGGTTAATCGCCGCCGTTCAAAATACGAAAATCCGAAAAAACGTGACAGTTCGTTTAAATATTTTGCTATTAAAGAAAATGAAAAAATTCACGTATGCCGTCAAGCCTTCTCTATTTTATACGCTATAAAAAATAAGGCACTTTTTCGCCTTACCTCCCTTAAATCGGAGGGAAAACTATCTGAAGATCAACGAGGACAGCATCGTAATCGGGGTAATGCCTTAACAAACGAAACAATTGCGGCTATTGATGAACATATCCGGTCATTTCCCCTAAAACAATCCCATTATAGCAGCAAAAATATACAGTATTTAGAGGCGAACCTAAACGTCAAAATAATGCATGAACTTTTTTTGAAAAAATACCCTCAATATAAATGCGTAAAATACGACTATTACAGAAAATATTTTAATGAACATCATGGCTACAGATTCGGTCGCCCACAAGTGGACGTTTGCTCAACTTGCGAAGAACTCGACGCGAAAATAAAAAGTCCATCTCTCAATGAGAATGCGAAGAAAGTAGCGGTTGCAGAAAAAATGATACATCTTAAACGTATGTAGGGATATATAAAACGAAGATGTAGGAGCGATTGTATTTGATTATATGCAAAATCTGCCGATTCCTAAGATCCCAGTTCAAGAGATGTTTTATTTGAGAAAACTATGGCTGTATGTGTTTTGTGTTCACGACTTGAAGACGAATTCTGCTAATTTCTACACTTACCATGAGGGTGAAGCTAAACGAGGCCCCGACGAAGTATGCAGTTTATTGTGGAAAACGATACAGACTATGGCTCCCTCTGTCAAAGAACTACACATTTTTAGCGATGGTTGTGGAGGACAAAATAGAAATAATAACCTTATAAGATTCTTACTCACTCTTGTTGCAACAAATCGTTTTGAGAAAATATATCAATACTTTCCCGTCCTTGGCCACTCGTTTCTACAATGTGATAGAAATTTTGGGACAGCTAAAAGACTCATTAGGAGAAAGGACAGAATTTACGTTCCAAATGAATATGAGAATTTAATTTTGGCAGCAAAAACCAAGGGGTTTACAGTTACACCTGTTATTTCAGATGACATACTTGATTTTAAAAATTCATGGCAGCAATGTTTTAAAAAAAGCTGTAAGTCATTAGACAAGGCAACAACATTCAAGATCTCGCAATATCGAAGCTTTGAGTATAGTTCAAATCATAAAGGTTACTTGACATGTTCCGAATTTATCGATGGTTTCGTTAAAGCTACATTTTTGCTTCAAAAACCTTCTACGAACCCGAAAATACCAGAAAATCCGGCATATGTTACTAAAATACCCATAAATGAGAAAAAAATGAATGACATTAAAAAAATAACCCAATACATACCCGAGGAATTCAAAAATTTTTACGATATTATTGTGTCTTGGCCAACTACAAGTTCCGAGAGTGAAGAAATAGATGTATAATAGTGTTTTTAAGTTTATTTTTTAATAAATAAATAGCTTTTGTATTCATAATGTATATTATTTCAAATAATTTTGTACATAGATCTTATAAATTGGAAGAAGGGAATAAATCCAACACATTTACATGTATATATATAAATGAGTATTATATATTTCAACCAGATCTATTAGTAAATAAGTAAGAATTAAGTTTTTTTAATAATAAATAAGTTTTTTTCAATTATCTCTAATCATGTTTTTTGGATTAATTCCCTTTTTCCAATTTGTGGTTCAATTGAAAACAAAGGCCCTATTATGGTGTTTTGGTTATGTGTCTAAAACAACTTGATTTATTGGTTCTCCGATTTGTGCAATATTAGAAGGAATACCATAGCTAACATTAACAAAATGTGCAGACGAACTTGTTGACATAAGACTAGGAGTAGCGATTGTATTTTGTGCTTCCACCTGTTTTGAGCAGTGAGGTTCTTCTTGGTCAATTTGCTCTTCAACACTTCGTTTTTTTCCAAAGAAAGCCCGTTTATCCATCGCGAAATCAATGAATCTTCTATTTATAACAATAAAAATAACAAGTGTATCGAATTTTACTAAAATACTCTTTACCGTACACTCTCCTAGTTATGATCACAGATATTATAATTAAATAGACAAATCCCTTCACGTGATGGCGCTTAAAATGCCATCTATAAACAGAACAAAGAATTATTATAATATGAAATGAATGTCAAAAACTGTGGTACGTTCGTTAATAATTTATCTTAGTATTTGGTATTTTTAAGGTAGGGCATTGCCCCACAATGCCCTCCCCTAGCTACGGCCGTGGAGCTACTCTCGTATAAATTGTTAGAATCATACCGTGGCATTTTTTTTGCGGGGCTCAGGAGGAGATCCCTATTACAGTTTTGTTATAAGTGAATAATGAGTATAAAAAGGAATTCGATTACTTCTGGGAAGTAAGATTGGCCGTGGACACGACTAGTAGACGGGTTGTCGAGTTGATATGGTTCACATGATTATAGTTTTGTTATGATATGAACTGCGACTTCAGGGAAGTTAGACCGGCTGAGGACATGCGGCCAGTGAGCTGTCGCGACGTTTCAATTCCAAATCAATTCTACATATCGAGATGATAACACATCTTATACGAAATTGTTAGTTTTTTAGTTAAAGCAATTATATGTCATACACAAATAACACTAGTCTGCAATGTTTCTTTTATTCTGAGCAGTGACAGCTTAATAGTATCCGAGGCTCTAAGCACAGAGGCAGTGTAGGCCCTCTATTGCTGGAAGGAAGTATAAAATGAAAGTTCATCAAAATAGAAAATGTAGTAGGTATAATTTAAAACTTAAAATATTTTTTTCCTTGTCTTATTCAGAGCAAACTCCGAGATTACATCGTCGAAATTTATCTGACGGAGTATGTCTGCCTCAATACACATTAATGCTAAAGAATTAAGCTTGTCTTGACAGATTTTTGTTCTTTGTGGGTTTTATAATCTTTTCAGTTGTGAGAAGGATCGTTCAGCAGAGCAGTTAGCAATCATTAAGCTGTAAAAGATTCTAAATGCCACTTCTATGTTTAGGAAAACGCACTATACTTTATCCTTAATAATCATTTCATATAAGATCTGAATGGGTGACCTTTGTTTCTGAAGCTTCATATTTTATTTGAACATACTCGTATTTAAGAAAATGATTAAATTCGCCGAGGAAGTTTTCATTGAAGTCTTCTGGGTAAGCTTCTATCAGTAATTGGATATCGTTTTCATATTCTGAACATTAGATCCCCAAGAAATAAAAACTTTTGTGAAACTTCGTGGTACACCTCACCTCTTGTTTGCATTTGAGCATTAAGTGTGTCAATTATTACATTGAAAGTCTCAATGCGGAATTTGTCGCTAGAATTCAAATCAACTTCTTCTGCATTTCCATCATTTGCTTGTTTTTTCCTAGTTCGTCTTCGAGTTTCGTTATATTCCCCATTAGGAAAAAATTTTCTTGCCGCGCCTTCAAATTTTTTAAAATAATTCCTCATTTCAACGAGTTGATCCGATAAAGAATGATACAAATCGGCACACGTTTTAAGATCTAATCCTTCTTCTTGGAGCCCTTTACTGGTGCGACGAAAAACTTGTAGAATATTATTCCACAAAGTGAGCATAAATGTGGGATCGGGAATTAAACGATGGGACCGTTTTTAAATCGTTTACTGTATCAAAAAATTAAGTAAAAAGGGAATACAAAAAAATGCACTGAGCGCACAAACGTCTCATTCGTTTCAAAAAAAAATAATTCTTCCTTTTTCTTTCTTTCTTTCTCTCGCTCGCACACCTCCTGTAACGGTTTTCTCCTATAATATAGTTTGAGATAGAAACAAAAAAAATATTAATTATGTACAATTTATTTACAAATTTTAACAAATAAATTCACAATTTTTTTGGCAAATTTTCGAAATAACGATTTTAAAATTCAATTACAAATTACATACAAAATACAATAACTCCCTAAATATGAAAAAAAAAATTCAAAAAAGGGGTATTTTGACCTTGGCATCGCTGCCGTACTCAGAAGGAGTACGGCAACACAACAAACCGGGGGCTGTCTGTTGTCCTACGGTCTCACTGTCCAGCGTTATAAGTCGTAGACATAAACTAACATTTACAATACTTAATGTGACAAATAAAATAATGGTTGGGCACAGCTTAATGTTCAGCTTGTCTCAGGTGACAACAAAACAATTAGGTTTTCCTTTTCATTCGGTTCAGTAATGTAGGTGGGTCAAACTACCGATACCCATCCACAGGGAGCGATATATCACTTACATATAGTTGTTTGTACCGTCAACCTGTATCAGATAACCCGTACCAGGCAACTCGTAACAAACAGTCAGTACTAGACAGCCATTACCAGACATCCATCACTAGACAGCCAGTACCAGACAGCCTTTCCTGTATCGGACAAAAGAGTGCTGTACATCTACTATATAATATTCAGTCCGTCGCAGACAGCGGACATTTATTCACTTTCAAATTTACCAGTAATTCAATTGTTTTACTTTATTTCATTAGAACTGATAAGATACAGGCTCTAACAACTCATGAAAAGTTTTAATTATTTATGAGGGTGATTAAGAAAAATATATATGGGTAGTTCAAACACTATACTATTAACCAAAATGCCACGATTCAATCTAAGCGAAAGAATTATCTGTTCAATATGATAATCAAGAAAATAAGGATTCTACACGTTAATGCACGAAAATGGTACTCACGGTTTGAGAGGCGAAAAATTACAAGAAATATCTATGTGACCGGCGCTCACAAATCCGCAGCACTGCTCGGCCTTTCCTGCTTCAAGATCACCACGAATGGAAGCTGTGGAACCATAGGAAAGTCTTAGATCACAAGCCTATCAAGGTAACAACTCGTGGGGGGTCCTTTTTCAACAAAACAAGGAAAAGACGTTTTACTTATTCAAAGAATTCAATGTCAAAACAAGGGTTACAAAAAAGTTCGAAAATAAGACAATAGGAAACTTACCTCACGTATTTAACAAAACGAGCCGAGACACGGTAGACTTCTCTTCACTCCTTGATGAGCAGCAGAATAAAAGGAAAGACAAAGCCGGGTTCCGACTTAAATACGATTTCCATTACCATTCGACTCAAGCGACCTGAACAGCTGTTAAATGAAGCAACTCCGTTTCACGGACAACACATAATGGCTACAAATTTTCACCCTTAAAAATTTAATAGGAAAAATACATAAATAAAATATTTATGTTTTATTGAATTGAAAATAAAATTATAGGACATATGCAAACATGCATGAAAAAACTGATAAAACCCTGCATACAAAGGAATATAACTAGGTGACAACTTCACAATCTTCTCCATCTTTCCATCGTTCGCTCGGATACATCGTCTGCATAAGTAGTGATGCCTTCGCCAGGGAAGACAGATGCTGTCATGAAATTCCCTGAGCCCATAAATATGAAGCAGCTACACAGTTTTCTCGGTTTATGTTCATACTTCAGGAAGTTTATAGAAAATTATGCTATGATTGCATCCCCACTCACTGATATGTTGAGAAAAGATGAGAAATTTCAAT